GACTAAGCATGCCGTTATCTCCTCTTCTGAGGCAGAAAACACCTCTATTCGCTCACTTTTGTCTCAGATGCTAGAATGTTCTCTAATGATTCTGCTGTGAAAGGAGCATAGAGCACAGCCTTGTCTGTGATCCCTTTGCCCGCTGCACATCTAAGGCAGGCCGGCTCTGTTCCCCACAGGTAACAAATACGTACCTCGGGCCATCCTGGTGGATCTGGAGCCGGGCACCATGGACTCCGTCAGGTCTGGACCATTCGGCCAGATCTTCAGGCCGGACAACTTCGTGTTCGGTATGTAGTCACGATCAATGGCAACTGGCTCAGTGAGTCTCCCTTCTCAACACTGTGGAAGTCAGAGATCTTAGTGCTGAATGCCAAGGTGGAGACTGTGTGTCCGCAGAGAGCCCTGGGTCCTGGCCTAATTCCGCGTAATCCTGGGGCGGCCACTTCTCTGTCCCCTCTCTGGGCAGTTCAGAGAACAGTGTCAGCCTCCAGAGGGCCCCTTCGCTCCCCCCGACCACCCCCAACTACAGAGCAGCCTGTGACAGGTGAAGAATACAGAGCAGTGACTAACCTTCCAGCAGGAGTTGATAGGCTGCTGGTGACGTCAGAGGACCAGGGCCAGCAGGTAAGCACGTCAGGAAGCCAAAGGCCAAAGGCACAGGTTATGACCAGACGTGGGGCCAGCTGCTTGGAGCCCATCTTGTCTTCGGATCATATTGTGATGCCCTTGACTGTTTATGGTACCTAATGTAAATATTTACACAAGATTCCTGTTCCTAATTTTAAAACCAGTTGGGTTTGGGGATGCCTGGGTGTCTCAGTTGGTTAAGTGTCTGCCTTCGGCTCAGGTCATGATTGCAGATTCATGATCCCTGAGTTGGGCTCCCTGCCCAGCAGGGGAGTCTGCTTCTTCCTCTGCTGCTATTTGTGCTCTCTTTCTCACCCTCAAAACAAAAACAAAAAACAAAACAAAAAACCAGCTGGGTTTTGTCAAACCATCTTCCTGATCAGTTAATAACTCCATCTGAACTAAACTTGCTTTTTATCCTATTATGATGTCTAGTGTTTTTGAGGATCATGGTTATATAGTTTTCCATAGGTAAAAAAGGTATCTAAAAGAGAATCTGCAACTCTTAAGATTAGTCTACAAATGACAGAAATTGGAATTCCTAATGTTTTAGTGTCTAATAGTCTCCTTTCCCTCTGGCAGGCCAGAGTGGTGCGGGCAACAACTGGGCGAAGGGCCACTACACAGAGGGAGCCGAACTCGTGGACTCGGTCCTGGACGTGGTGAGGAAAGAGTCAGAAAGCTGTGACTGTCTGCAGGGCTTCCAGCTGACCCACTCGCTGGGGGGCGGCACGGGGTCTGGGATGGGCACGCTGCTCATCAGCAAGATCCGAGAGGAGTACCCAGACCGCATCATGAACACCTTCAGCGTCATGCCCTCGCCCAAGGTGTCCGACACGGTGGTTGAGCCCTATAACGCCACCCTGTCGGTGCACCAGCTGGTGGAGAACACCGATGAAACCTATTCCATCGACAACGAGGCCCTGTATGACATCTGCTTCCGCACCCTGAAACTGACCACCCCCACGTACGGAGACCTCAACCACCTGGTGTCGGCCACCATGAGCGGCGTCACCACCTGCCTGCGCTTCCCGGGCCAGCTGAACGCCGACCTGCGCAAGCTGGCCGTGAACATGGTGCCCTTCCCGCGCCTGCACTTCTTCATGCCCGGCTTCGCGCCGCTCACCAGCCGCGGCAGCCAGCAGTACCGCGCGCTCACGGTGCCCGAGCTCACGCAGCAGATGTTCGACTCCAAGAACATGATGGCCGCCTGCGACCCGCGCCACGGCCGCTACCTGACCGTGGCCGCCATCTTCCGCGGCCGCATGTCCATGAAGGAGGTGGACGAGCAGATGCTCAACGTGCAGAACAAGAACAGCAGCTACTTCGTCGAGTGGATCCCCAACAACGTGAAGACGGCCGTGTGCGACATCCCGCCGCGCGGCCTCAAGATGTCGGCCACCTTCATCGGCAACAGCACGGCCATCCAGGAGCTGTTCAAGCGCATCTCGGAGCAGTTCACGGCCATGTTCCGGCGCAAGGCCTTCCTGCACTGGTACACGGGCGAGGGCATGGATGAGATGGAGTTCACCGAGGCCGAGAGCAACATGAACGACCTGGTGTCCGAGTACCAGCAGTACCAGGACGCCACGGCCGACGAACAGGGGGAGTTCGAGGAGGAGGAGGGCGAGGATGAGGCTTAAGAACTCAAATAAATCGTGCATCTTTAGTGAACTTCTGTTGTCCTCAATCAAGCATGGTCTTTCTATTTGTATACTATGGTGCTCCGTTTTGCCTCTGTCAGAAATTCACACTGTTGATGTAATAATGTGGAACTCCTAAAAGATTACAGTATTGTCTAAGATATCTATACTAATAAAAAAGCATGTGTCCAAAACCGTGTGGTCTCTTTAATTTAATTTCAGGCAATTTTTATTCTTTCACTGAATGCTTAAATATGTTTCTGGGTTTAGTGACTTTAACAAACTAGGATTTCTGCTGTAATGTTTTTAATTAATAGCTTTTCTGCTGTTAGTGAAGACAGATAAAAAGTTTTTCATCTTCACTGGCCCAGAGTATTAAAGTAAATGAATCCGGGGAACATGTGGAGGAAATAGAGATTTAAGGACAAAGCAAACCTTCCTACCTTATTTGCTGTAGTTCCAGCAACCCTTGTGAAAATGTAGTATCAAGGGCCCTAGGCAAGGATTTTCTTCTGTTTCTCTACTTTGAACAATGTGATAAATTCAAGTAAAACGACCAGTGAAAGCTTATACCTCTCAGATAAAAGGAACAGCATGATTCTAGATTCAAGGTATCCTGAAATCAGTCATAAATACTCTAAATGCTTCACCTAAGATTCACTGGCAAGAAAGTAAATCAGAATCAGAATTCAATTTTTAAGCCAATAGTAGACATTCACAACTTTAACGTTAAAAAAATCAGCTTTAATTTTTGTAGCACTTAGAGTAGAGCTGGAAGACGTTTTAATATGTCATTATTTCTATTTGACCAGGAGCAGTTTGCAGGGAGGAGTAGAAAGCATGGGAAGGCAGGTGAGCTAAGGAGGGACTGCAGTGTGTTTCAAAGGCAGCAACAGGCTCAAGCTCCACAGTAAGGAATCCCCGGGTCCCTGCTGTTCTCAGGGGCCTTTTCCCTGTAAGAAGTCTTCTACTAACTTATTGAATTCATCTGCAAAATGTAGATGTAGGTTGTGCTTGCCTTCTCGTATCAGATGCAACCTAAAAAAAAAAAAGTTTGATTAATGGCACACCATTTAAAACTCACCCTTTCCAACATTTCATGAAAATCTGAAGTGAAAACCTGCCCCATCCTTTTTTTTCATGATGACTATTGGGGAGGAAAGGTAAGGTACATAATATAAACTTTCCCTGATTATAGACGTAAGGGTGAGAGCTTCTTGGGGCGTTTACCACCAACCTGGGGGTTGACTTAAGAGAGCACACACATTGTATTTGGAATCTGGAACTGTATCATGTAACACATGGTTTGACTTCAAATCTGAGAGTGGGGGATGTGATTTGATCATTACTTAGGGGGGAAACAACCCCATTTTAATAAGGTTGATTGTAAGAGAGAAGGTTGGAAAGCCAAGAAAAATACGAAATGTCCAGAATCCACCGGATTGGAACAGGTGAGCTTCCTGGGGTATCCTAGAGTGAAAGCCCAAGTCAGAAATCACGGCCCCCAGCAGCCTGTCATTTAAGGGTCAAAATCACCCTGTCACTTTTGGAGGATTGAAGAAGTCTGAATATCAGCCAGTAGACAAAGGGCACGCAAGTGTTCCTGGGGACCGTGGGGGCAACTGGAGCTGGCCTCAGCAACCCTTTGTGCATGTCTTGTGGTGAACCTCACTGTATTCCTAAGACTTCTTTCATAAGCTTTTGGTCAAACGTGGCTGGTTTGCAATTTCTTGAATATAGGCAGTCTTCTTTGAGTTCTACAGTTTATTTATTGGCTGTAAAAGTGCAGAAATAAAGTGTTAAAGCTTCTAGGATATAGGCACAAGTTCAAGCTGTTTTGTCTAATAACAACGACATTAAATGGATCCTATTGGGGCAAAATGCCAGTTACTACACCGCCTAATTCTCTGACCTTTCAACAACTGGGGGTTGAGAGCTCTAAGAACTTGAGGATGTGTAGGGAAAAGGAGCTGGGGGATAGAGCTGTCCTTGGACAACATCGAGCCCCCCTGCAACTCAACCACGTGGGGCGTGGGGTAGATACACAAAATAATCTACTTGAAAGAAGTAGATTGTTGGCATCTTTCTGAGGCCCTTGGGAGAGCTAATAATGCCATTCATAATAGAACACTCCAAATTCAGTTTTAATGCTATTCAGAAAAAAAAGGATCAACTGCACCAACTCCAAAGATAGGATCCCACTTGCCCCACAGGAGCAGGGCTTGCAGGGATGCTCGGGGCCTCCATTTTTAGAAGGCAGAAAATAACCAGCAGTCAAGGATACTGAGGTCATAGAACGACGTATTTAGGCTAAACTGCATCCCCTAATGTGTGCTAAGCTGAACTCTGAAGCAGAGGGACCCTGACCTGCCAAAGTTGGACGTCTTCTTTGTGGGTAGCCAAATTGGTTATCACAGGGCCTACCCCATTTCTACAATTTGCTCAGATTCCCAACAAGGAAGGAGAGACACCAGCTGTGCATCTCTTCAAAAGTCTCAGTGTATCTGCACTATTCCTATGGTAATCTCTGGGTCTTAGGGAAATAAACACTAGGTCCTCTTCATAAAAATATGGGAGGCCTGTTTTCAGGCATCTACATTCAGAACTGCGCTGGACTGTGGATGGATGGATGGAATGATGGATGGATGGGCTATAAAGAAAATTGCTCTTCTTGATACATTTTGGGGGTCATTTCAAGGTCCTTAGTATATCTTTATCCTTTAGGATTCACTATAGTTAAAACCTATCATGTGAAAGGCGCCTGGGTGGCTCAGTCGTTAAGCGTCTGCCTTCGGCTTGGGTCATGATCCCAGGGTCCTGGGATCAAGCTCCGCATCGGGCTCCCTGCTCCATGATGGGAAGCCTGCTTCTCCTCTCCCACTCCCCCGCTTATGTTCCCTCTCTCACTGCATCTCTTTCTGTCAAATAAATAAATAAAATCTTAAAAAAAAAAAAAACCTACCATGTGTTCCTCTTTGGGAACAGTCCTCTGGACAAGCATAAATATATAGCTGTCAGGGCAATGTAGCGATATACTGCTGATGTAGATTCTTACCCAAATAACAAAAGGAACTAATCACATGCTCCATGGAGGGTGGTTTTCAAACAATCACATTTTCCAGGAAAATCAGTAGCAAGTCCCCCACCATCAGACACATAGTGCAACTGGAAATGTAGGGGCCTCTGAGGGGGCAAATATAAATTCCTCTTTCCCGGGGCAGGTTTCTGCCTGCATTTGGCACCTTCAGAAAAAGATTTGATTCTAGATCTTTTGAGGAGCTAAAATGTGTCTGATCCCACAGTGTACATTCAATGGTCACTTTACCTCTGCTTGGGAAGAGTCCTTCTAGGATGCTCCTTACAGATGAGGTGGCCAAGGACAAACACGCTGGCCCCACCATACTACCTTTCCTTCCTCAGTCTAACCTTCAACAGCTTTCAAATTAAGCTGTGAGAACTACAGACAGGAGCAGCCCATAAGTAACATGCCGTAGCAATTTTTTCTTCACCTTGGATGTGATAAAACTCTAGTGGTATATGAACCCCTAAAGTTGCTAGTCAAGTCTGTGAGCATTTTTGTTTTAGTTGAAAACCAAAGTAGGCTGCTGGTTCTGTGTACCTGGATCTCTTCCACGATGACAACTGGACAGCCATGTGGCTAACAGGGAGGCCTGGTCACTTTCAGGCATTTCTTCCAAGGCCATCCAGACCTCACTGCCAACAACATCCCCCTTTTTTTTTTTTTTTAAAGATTTTTTTAAATTTATTTATTAATGAGAGACAGAGAGAGAGAGAGAGAGAGAGAGAGAGAGGCAGAGGGAGAAGCAGGCTTCCCACTGAGCAGGGAGCCCGATGCGGGACTCGATCCCAGGACCCCGGGATCATGACCTGAGCCGAAGGCAGACACTTAACCATCTGAGCCACCCAGGCGCCCAACAACATCCCCTTTTAATTCTTTATTCTCAGGCACCTGGGTGGCTCAGTCAGTTAAGCGTCTGACTCTTGATTTAGACTCAGCTCATCATCTCAGGGTTGTGAGATGGAGCCCTGCGTCAGGCTCGATGCTGGGCGTGGAGCCTGCTTGGAATTTTCTTTCTCCTTTTTCCCTCTGCCCCTTCCCCCACAGTCACTCTCAAATAATTAATAAATTATATTTATACTTATATAAATATAATTTATACATATATATATATATATGTTCTTAATTCTCTGCTCCTTTCAGAAAGCCCAGTGGGTGGGCCACAATACCCTTCAAGCTGGTAAAATGGTGTAGAGCATGGCCTCCAAGCCTGCATCCTCTCCAGCAGGCTCTCCTCCCCAGCCCAAGAGCCGAGCAGGTGTTCGGGAAAGGGAAGTAGACTTCTGAGAAGTTCCTTCCCTCAAATGCAACCATACCTCAAGCATTAGAAAGAAACCAAACTGCCTCAGCGGCTGCTTTTCTGATAACACCACAGCAAGGGGTGGACCCTCTCTGGGCTGTCCAGGTCTGCCAGACTGATGCTTTTAACTCGTGTGTAGAGAAGCCAGCCCTGCCAAACCTGCGGGATGACAGGGGCCACGTTGGGGCCTTCTGACCGGACTGAGAGCTCTGAGTCACAGCTGAACGTAATTGGAGGTGACACCATAGGGTTAAAGGCATGGGCTGTATGGGGTCAGGATGTGTCCTGTCTAATCAATGTGGGATCCATGCTGGCAAGTTATTTCATCTTCCCAGGTCACACTTTCTCATCTGGAAAAGGGGGACAAGTAACAGCATCTACCCCACAGGATTATTCCAAAGACAAAATGAGATAAGGCACACAAGGCACATCGCACAGGATCTTTGGGCACACAGTGAACAATAAATGTTTTCTATTATTTTCTTATTCTATTTGAGTCGCACTTTAGCATATGCAAAAGTCCTCACAATGGTTCTAATTATGGACAGCATTGTTAATGAAATGCTCTGACTTGGGAGCTTAATTTATTTACATTTGGCTAACATAATCTACTCCAAGTAGAAGAGTCTCAAGAGAGATTTTACAAGATGTCATGGGTAAGGTTTGTCTAGAAAGGAGGAGACCCCATTCTCTCTAAAATACAAAGGACTCAGCTTTGTAAGGACGAGGCTAATCCTGTTTGCTGTTCGTCCTGTAACCCGACCATAAGTGGGGTCTTGAGCTGACTGCTTTCCTTTCAACCACAGCAGCAAGCAGCTAGGGATGAGGAACCAGAAGCAGCCTGGGAGGAGGAAGGGATGGGGAGAGGTAGAGAAATCACCTGGGGCAGTCAGGAGAGGGGAGGGCAGATCTTCCCTTCCCCATCCCAAGGCTAGAGTTGGTCCAGAAATGGAAGTCAAGGCAGCCATCCCTCCTGCACTGTCCACCTCCCCCCAGTAACCTGGCTCACTCTACCAGAGAGCTGAAAACAATCCTTTGTTTTCCATATTTCCATTGGATGGAATTTCCAATCCTCCATAATTGCATGAGCCAATTCCTTATTCCATAAAGTAAACCAACCTCCGCGTGCGTGCGTGTCTGTTGTGTGTATCCTATTGGTTCTGTTTCTCTGGAGAACCCTAATACCCCCATACACCTATCGGCATGAACCTCTGTCACCTAGGTCAGTTCATTCCAGCTCCTCCTGGCCTACACCCGAGGCCCTGGGCCAACTTACCTCTGGTGGTGGGATCTGAGGAGCCCAGGCAGCTGCAGAGAGGGGTCCTTCTTCTCTTCCATGAGTCAGACAAAGAACTCATGGCACCTGGCCCACTGCCTAGACAACCTAACCCTCACTACCAATGTGTACCCTCACTACCACCGTGCTGGGACACGCTCCAGTGAATCTACCATAGGCCAAGACCTCTGTGGAGAGTAGCCTGTACCTGTGCCCTCCCCTCTGTGATGGCTGGTTTTTTGCATAAACTTGACTGAGCCATGGATGCGCAGCTATTTGGTCAAACATTGTTCTGGGCATTTCTGTGAGGGCATTTTTTGGATGAGATTAACATTTAAATCATTACAATTCAGTGAAGCAGACTGTCCTCCCTGATATAGGTG